AATCACAAATCGAATGAAATCTAACATACCTCACAGAAGCATTCATTATATTGACTTTGAGTTTCTTCTATGTACACTGTCAGTAAACGAATACTTTCACATTTTTCCTGAAGCTGTAAATCGTGATTTAATTGTGTTTCTGTTAAATGAATCTTAAAAATGAACAAATGACGTCACAGTTACATTTCAAATATAAACTTCAGTTTGTTATATCATTGTCGACCAGGAATCAATTAAAAGTGCTCACTGTATTTGGAATACAAGAGGACAAAATGTTAATTTTAAAACATGGAATACAATACATGCATGTTACTTATTTGATTATTTATTACAACAAAAATATTAACAATCTTTGTTAATAAATTACATACAGGTATTACTACGGGTTACAGTTCTTTTATGCATAGAGATATAAATTCACGTATCTCTATTTTCAAACGAACAGTATGTACAAAATCAAGGTTAACAATATTTATAATATACTATATAAATATATTATACATAAAGTACTGTGCTATATATTACTTGATTTGATTCTTCAAATTCCATTATAACAGGAACTAATCACTTTTGTCAAATAAGAATACGTAATTACACTCATTACTAAAATAAATCAAATAATGCATTTAAAGCTGAAACTTTTACTGACGATTACCGTCCTGTTACAAGAAACGACGACCTATGTAAATCGCATACATATATGCATATTTACAATTCAACCTTAAATCTCTAAACATCATGCACATTCCCATGACTATACATGGAAGATGAAATTGTTGACCATTGATCACTCACATCGCTCATAGTTCTGTGTCCCATTTGATCTATACATCGTTTAGCTTCTACTACTGCATTTTGCAAATGTCCTATAGTTTGACTTTGAAGTTCGTTCTGAAAAGCAAAATGACTTTCAATTAATGTGTGAAAAAAAAACGGTCTACATTATTTAAATTAAAAATATACTTTATCAGAAAAGTTTTTAATGATACATAAGTATAAAAGTTTATGTATTTATTTATCTTACATATAAAAAACAGAGTAAGGAATAAACTAAAACAATAGCGTATACTATTGGTACAACAATTTCTAATTGACAACAAATTTCTAATCTGTGTAGACCAAGGACATCTGGTACACTTATATCACAATTTTAGTCTAGAAATGTAGTCTAGAATACTTTGTATACATACATATAATAAGAGTGGGGAAACCGACGTGACCGAATCTTTCATTACTAATCAAAAGATAAAGAAAGACAATCTAAGAAAGCACGTTTATATTCTCACAGATGAAACACAAGTGTATTGCCTGACAAGAAAAAAGTGAATCTACGACAATTACAATTATAAATAACATTGAAATCTAAGGCTATTACTCAATTATAATGTTAAGAAATACAAGTAGTTGTCGTATTAATTAAAATAATATATGCATAAATACCTGCTTCAATAGTTGTTTCTTCTCTTTTTCATACTGGGTGAGTATTTGATCCTGATTATCGATCTAGGAAGAAATATTTTAATGTCTCATAATTTTTATTTGTACAATATACACACCTTTGTATCAAGTTCTGCCAATATTTTCATATT